CAGCCCGAGAGAGAGAGAGAGGGAGAGAGAGAGAAAGAGGGAGAGAGAGAGTGAGTGAAAGAGAAAGAGAGAGAATGAGAGAGAAAGAGAGTGACAGGCAGAAAGAGAGAGAACGTGAGAGAGAGAAAGTGAGAGAGAGGGAGATAGAGAAAGATCAATCTGATATTTTGATATTTTTTCAAATGGCATCACTTGCTTTTTTGCTTTTTATTTGATAACAAATTATTGATTGAGTGACAGTGACAGTGATAAAGTAACTAAGCTCAGTAACAGCCAAATTTAATTAACTTTCAGAGAAAGGAAAAAAGACTCATTCATTTTTTAAAATATACATGCATGTAGAAGAAAAATACATCTTTATTGATTTTGACTTCATCTCTGGTCCACATATTATTGGTTTTGATCGATATATCAGACAGACAGACACACAGATGCACACACTCTCTCTCTCCCTCTCTCTCTCTCTCTCTCTCACACACACACACACACACACACACACACACACACACACACACACACACATCATCACCATCATCATCATAATTATCATGATTATCCCCACCACAATCACAAACCGTTCACAATAGGTATACATAAATACACGATGTACATAAATGAAATAAAAATAGGCCGAGACCTTTATAAATTACATTTGCAATACTGAATACTGCACATTGGCAATCCGTTTGAGAAACCCATTTATAATAAATAAATAAATACAACACACACACACATTATTTAAACATACATACACAAACTCATCGGCAATCTATCTTTAGTCCACCGTGTGTGGTATAGTGGTTAAGCACTTCAATATCCCACATAGATTTGAGTCTGACTCCTGAGTGGACAGAATGAATTTTTATCGAGTTTCTCTGTCGTTCTGATGGGATGTTGTATCACTCTAAGCTTGGGTAGGTCTTGCAAGGGAGGGTCAGAAGCCCACCTCCTAAATGACGTAAATTGTGTTGATGAGGGCGTAAAATCATCTCCACGAAATGTTTTTCCTTCTTTAGCTGTCGGAAAATACTGAAGAATACAAGCTCTTACTGTAAGTCTGTTGGTGTTTCAAACTTTCTCTTGCACAATCATCAGTGCAATTTCTTCAACAACTTAAGATTCTAAACGTGCACTCACATATCAGCAGACTGCCAGCTGTGACTACATTTCATCCCTCCTTGATCATAAAATAAAAACATAGAGACATCGAATTTTTACCTATTTCTTGCTTATAAACACAAAGACATTGAATGTTTACCTCTTTCTCGCTTATAAAACTCAAAGACATTGAATGTTTACCTCTTTCTCGCTTATAAAACACAAAGACATTGAATGTTTACCTCCCCCTTGATTGTGTAAAACATAAAAGAGATAAACATTGAGTACCCGTAACGAATACTTCCCCTTGACTAGAGAACGTAAAGACATTGATTGAACGTTTACCAGTATTTTCCTACAGTGTCACGCTTACACAAGTTGTAGACCCTTACCGTAGACATCTGACTTTATCGTAAGGTACTAAACAAATTTTGCCCACTCCCTCCCACAAAGTGCTTTCCTCTAGATATGAGTTATATCAGTTTTAAGTCATGTGACCTATTATCAATATCACCTCTCATGAGTGCTGTTGCCCGTTGCAATAAATTATGAAATAAACATATATATTTATTCCACCCACAATGATTTTGTGAGTTAGTTTGTTCTTTAGATTTCTGTCAAAAATTAAAAGATATGCATACACATCGACTGTCCATTATAAGACTCTGTCAAATTTTATTTTTTCAAATGGCAAATGACGGAATCTTATACTGAGCAGTCAATACAGTCGACTACGGATGAGCTGATGTCTTCGGGGGAGTGAAAGAAAAGATAAATACATCCAAAGTTCAACTTAACCATTGGGACCTGTAAAGAAGATGAGGTGCTGGGATCTAAGAGAAAGATCAATTTAACCCTATCTGTACGCCCTGGGGTAATTTTTTGTACCCCCAGGGTTGTATTCTTCACATTTTAGAATACTTCTACTAGTGCAAAGATCTCTTTGAAACTTTCGGTATTTCTCAAAAAATCATTTTGACAGACTACTATGCAAAAGCGTACAGATCGGATTAACGCGTAAATTTCCTCATTGGAAAGAGGCGGCACAGTGTTCCTCACGTCGCATGGATACGATAGTAAAACACAACCTTTAACCGAAGATCAACTCAAGCCTCAAGCGAGTTCAACACAAGTGGAGTCGACTGTATATAAATATAAAGTCGGCATCGACCTACACGGCCACCCATTGTCGAGGAGACAAGTTGTTGTAGAGAAAGTACAATCTCAGATTCAATGTGTAGATTCTATAGTTAAACCTGCCCTAACAGACACCTTCCCAAGACAGTCACCTGAACATACGACCGCTTCTCATTTCCTCCCTTGCTTTATTTCTGTTGTATTGTATTTTTAGTTTTAGTAGAAGTTTTACAGCGCTCGCAACAGCATAAGGTCATTTGAGTGCCAGAAGATTAGACGTGTTACAAGTGAGTAACAAACATAAAAAAGAAGGGGAGATAAGGACGATAACTGTTTGATAGGAAAGAAGAAGCAAACCACACCAGAGCACCCGCCAACCACCAACTGTGTTGTAATGACGTTACCCAAGACGTCCACCTCGTCTAAGGGACTGTTCACAAATAATGACGTCAGCTCAGAGGGGGGG